CAATCTTAACCTCCACACTAGACTTCCTCCACAAATATTAAGAATTTGTTCAAATCTTAGGTCTTTTCTTTCCCCATGTGATTTTAAAAAACTAAGTCTCCCTAATCTTGCTCCTCTTCAGCTGAGTTTTTCCATAGGGCCTTATATTGTATCCCCCTTCAATTTGATTGTTTCAGATTTAATGTAGCATATTCTCTTTCTCATTCAGCTTCAAGTCATCAGCAAACATAATTTGACAAGTCTCTATTAAGGAAAAGAATAAAGCCAAGGGCTCTGCCATTACATTTATTTCTCTCAAGGTGTATCTCTATATCATTTCCTAGTGGGGGTAATGTTCAACCTGTTACCAATCCACCGATCTGAATTAACATCCAGCCTCCATTTTTCTATCTTATTGGCAACTATTTCTTGAAATATCACATGGTCTTTATGGTCAATATAATATCTACAGCAAAGATTCATTCTAAGAAAGGTTGACCCATAAAGAACTGTGGATGGAAGGCTGAAGTGGGTATGCAAAATATATACTTCATGGTCTTAAGTGTTTAAACTATTTATTTTTTATTTAAATTCAATTGGCCAACATATAGTACATCATTAGTTTCAGGTGTAGAGTTCAGTAATTCATCAGTTGCATATAACACCCAGTGCTCATCATATTACGTGCTCTCCTTAATGCGCATCACCCAGTTACCCCATCCCCTGACCCATCGCCCCTCCAACAACCCTTAGTTTGTTTCCTATGGTGAAGAGTCTCTCATGGTTTGTCTCCCTCTCTGATTTCTTCCCATTCAATTGTACTACTAGGTTTTTATTCCAACGATACAAATGTAGTGATCCAAAGGGGGACCTGCACCCCAATGTTTATATAGCAGCAATGTCCATAATAGCCAGACTATGGAAAGAGTGTTTAAACTATTTTAAGGGGAAAAGCCCACCTTTGCTTCCCTAAGACATTTGAGTTGACGAAACATTAAAGAGCAGAAGATGAACAGCACTTGAATCAAGAGCCTTTCCAGGGATACACACACATCTATCTACCTAACCCCATCCTACTCCAGTATCACAGGAGGGCAGGACTCGAAGGGAGCCACTGGCCTTCATACGCAAACCTGCGGCTTGTCCAGCTTCCTTCATTGGAGTCAAGAGCAGATTCTTCACCTTGCCTTGTCTTTCTCTCCATCTGTTAGAGCAAGGCATTGCCATTGCTTATGCCTTGGTACCTCTATTATCACTGAGGAAAGACTGACCATTGTAATTGCAGCCTTTTTTATCAGAGAGGAAAGAAGCCCAAGGCTCTGTCCTACCAAGTCCTAGTCTGCTCATTTCTCAGAACTGAGTCTATTTGAGATTAATCCATGCATCAAACTCATTGCTTAGTCCCACAGAGGGGTGACTTGTACCTGTGGAGAAAAAGAACTTTTGCCTCAAATATAAATAGAGGAGAGCTTGACATGCCAACCACCCTGGCCGGAACGTCTCAGACCCTTCAAGGACACTGCTGTGAGGCCCCACAGAGCCAATAGGGCATTCTGGGTAATGGAATGCAACATGAGGCAGTCCCCACCCCCCTCATCTCCCCGGCCTCCCCAGGGTTCCTTGATTCCTGGCTCTGCAACAGCTGAGGCAAACAGTTTTTGAACTTGGGGGGAAGAGGGTGGAGAGAAGGGGCGGAGGCTTCCTCTAGGCCAACCACAACTAACTCATTCGCTCTGTCCAGCAAAACCCAGACAGTGCAATTATCTGGTTAATTTGGCCCTTAGTTGGGAGACAGACTTCCAAAATGTGAGACCAGCTCAGACTAAACAGTGGCTTCCATCCTAAGACTTTTCCCAAGTATGAGAGAATACATGTGAGATTCCTGGGGGGTTGCTTTGTGACCCGCCCATTCATCCACATGGATAAAGGCAAACAATTCAGATTCTAAGATGGGTTTAGGAAGGCATGTCTTTCAGGGAAAAATGCCCAAATGACCTGCTATTTGGTCTCCTGGCTAATTTGCCTTCTGGCTTCTATGAAGGCGGATGGCTCGAAATCAGGATGACTCTAAATTAGCCAATGTTTTCCAATATGATTGCAGCCTTCATAGATTGGCTGAGCGTTTCCAGAGCCCCTGGGTGAGTTATTCTTAGAGCAATTCCTGATGATGCCCTATAGATTTTATACCCATAAGTTGGGCCAGGGGCATCACTGAGATAAATGGGTAAAATTAAAACATGCCTCTGGGGTTTTCACAAATGGGATAAGATAGGGCTAGCTAAATTGGCAACTGAGCATTTACCAGATGGTTTATGGAAAAACCAGATTTTTGAGGGGGATTAAGAAGCAGTAATTTATCTCCCTTGGAAACTGACAAGCAGCCTGGAATCTGTGGAATCTATCAGTTATTCATTCTGCAAGTATTTCTTTAGTTCTGGTCCTGTGCTACTTAACAAAGTGAGATCCAAATAGCCATGGCCTCTATGCTCATGCAAATAATCCCACACCTATATATACGGATAAGGGCGGGGAAGGACAAGTTCAGTGTTATGATAAGGAATAACCAGGTTAGCTGATTAGATCAAGGTGTGAGAGGAGGAGTCTTTGAGGAAGGGATTTAAAAGCTAACACTTTGGGATGCCTGGGTGGCTCAGTCGGTTAAGCGTCTGCCTTCGGCTAAGGTCATGATCCCAGGGTCCTGGGATCAAGTCCCACTTGGGGCTCCTTGCTCAGCAAGGAGCCTGCTTCCCCTCTGCCTGCTGCTCCCCCTGCTTGTGCTGGTCTCTATCTTCTGACAAATAAAATCTTTAAAAATAAATAAATAAATAAATAAATAAAAGCTAACACTTTAGGGGCTCTTGGGTGGCTCAGTTGGTTGTCTGCCTTCGGCTGGGGTCATGATCTCAGGATCCTGGGATTGAGCCCTGTGTCGAACCCCTGGGTCAGTGGGGAGTCTGTTTCTCCCTCTCCCTCTGCCCCTCCCCCCAGCTCATGCTCTCTCTCTCTCAGAAAAATAAACTTTTTTTTTTTTTTAAAAAAGCTAACACTTTAAAGAAACTATACGCTTTTTTAGAAAGATCACTCCAGTGTTAGTAGCAAAAATAATCTGGAAGTGGGTAAAAAAGGTAGAGTTAGGAAGATTGGATGAGAGCTAATGATTGTCCAGCCAAGGCTCTAGGCAATAAAGATGGAGAGAGGTGGATGGACTGGAGACATGGGATGTGGAGTCAACTAGCTGAATGGGTGTAGTGGTGGAGGGAGGGGAGGCAGCAGGGAGCCTGCGCAGGTTTCTAGCTAACATGGAAGGTAGAGGGTGTCACTCTTTATTGAGAGGGAACTTGGGAGGACAAGTAGGTTGGGGCTAGGGGAAGATGATGTGTCCTATTTTGGACTCAACCAAACTGGACTCCCACCATTCCACACCCCTTCCAGCCCCCTTACCTTTGCTCACACTGCTTCCATCTCATTACTCTTCATGTTGCCACATCCACTTGTTGAAATCCTACCCATCCTTCAAGACGCCTTCCAAATACCCCCCCACTTGGAGCTATTCTCACTCCCCCAATTAGTGGTGGCTTCTGTTGCCCTTAGCACTGAGTTTGGACCTCTCTTTTCTGGACTCCACCTGTACTGAGGTTCTGTGAAGACTTATCTTGCCTCCCTTCCTAGACCACAAACTTATTGAGACAGAGCCTCTGCTTCTATATCCTCCTTCCCCACATGTTAGTGAGTTAGCATGGTAGATGTTTGACAAATATTTGTTAAGTGAACAAAAATAACGTACTCTTTGCCATGGAAGGAAAACCAGTAGACATTGGACTGACTTGAAAGCCACAGGATCAAACTGAAATTCAAGTTTAAGGTGTTTTAATACTAAGCCAACTCAAATTGGATGCTCAGAAAGGCTTTCTGTTCCTCCAACACACCAAACTCAAAGAATACTAAAAAAGTCACACTCCCTATTTTCTTACTGCACTTTTCTGAGTTCATCTTATAGTAGGGACCTTGTCTATCTTATTAACTCTTTGTCTTTGATGATGATGATGATGATGATAAATGAGTAACATTTACTAAGTGCCTGGTATGTGCCAGGCACTGTTCCAAGTACTTGGAGACTAACTCATTTGATCCTCATAGTCACCCTATGAAATTGATGCTATTATTACCCAATTGTACAGATGAAGAAACTGAGTTGCAAAGAGCTTAGTACTGCTCAACCAAAGTCGCACAGTTAGTAAGGAGTGGCAGTGGGATTCAGACCTGAAGTCTGGTTCCAGAGCCCAAGCTTTGATGTGCTCTCCTAAGGCTGAGCACCATGCTTGGCATTTAGTAGGTCCCCAACAAGTGTTCACTGAATGAATGGGAGAAGCCCTAGATCTGGAGGTCACAGGTTCTAGTCCTCATTCTGCCACTGCCTTCCTATGTAGCCTTGAGCAAGTCCATGTTTCTTTCCCCATAAATTGAGGTGCCTGGCTATTTATATTAGCAGTAATAACAAGAGCCAGTATTCGTAATTCTGGTCTCATTTGAAGTTTTAAATAATTTAATCCCAACAACACTGATACAAGGAAATTGAAGCATAGAATGATTGAGTCACCTGCCCCATACCTATTAAATGAGAGAGCCAGGATTCAAACCCACTGTGCTGCCTAGCCCAAGTAGTTCCAAGGAGATGGCTTGGGGGCTATGGGGGAAATGGGGAGAAGGTAGAACAGAATGGAGCAGACAGATTTTGGGGTTCCCCATGTCCATTTCATTAGTTTCCTTTTCTCTACTTTTCTCTATTTTGTACAATGGGCTCCTACTTGAGATTTCCTTTGAAGAAAGGTTCTGCTGCTAAAACAAAAACCATTAAACTAAATAATTCTGGATTTAATAAAACTCCCAGTTATAAGCCAGGATTTTCTGATAATCTTGGCTCATGGTAGCCTTATAAGATGAGGATCAAGGCTGCTCCTGGGAATGGCTCTAGTTGTGGAAAATATCAGGGTGATAGCACGGAAGACCCAGCTCCAACCTACCTGCTCCACTCGGATCTCAATTTCTCCATTCACCTTCTTTCCATGAAAATACTTGGTCCTGTGAAAGAAAGGAAGAGAGCTCCTGAGTAAGGGTGCACACTGCTTTACTGTTTTCTTCCTTCTCCCAAAGGCCTTGCCCCCAGAGGTGCATGTCAGACACATTTGTAACTTCATGCTCTCTCCTCCCACCTTGACTGATGATTTTCTCATTATTTGTATGTACTGTGTGCGAGGGGAAAGAATACTGGATGGGAAGATTGGAGACTCAAGTTCTGGTTCTACCAAGTGGCTCGACCTCCCTGTGTCTCAATTTTATAATCTGTAAAAGGAAGATATTAATAGCTGCATGACATATTTCTAAGTATTATTTTAAGGATCAAATGAGACAAGGAATCTTACATAAATAAATAATGCAGAATTATTTATTTTTATTATTTATAGTTACACTCTATATACTCCATAAATTATCTACCCATCTACCCATTCCTCCATTTGTCCATCTGTCCAAGGAAGCAGCCCTCATCTATCTCTTTATCCATCCATCTGTCCGTCCATCCATCTGTTCATCCATCCATCCATCCATCCATCCATCCTTCCTTTCATCATCTTTCCTCTGTACCCCTACTTCTATCTTCTCAGTAAATGGCATCCCATCTACCCATTGCTCAAGGCGGAAACATAGACATCATTCTTGTTATCTCTTTCTCTCCCCCCCTCCCACTGATTCTACATTCTAATTATTTCCCAAATCCATCCACTTGCCAATTTTTCTCTGTAAGCACCCTAATCTTGGCCCCTTCATCTCTCTTCTCATATAGATTCTTTTTCATACTCTTTTTTCATAGTACTTATTACAATTATAATTAGTTATAATCAGTAACTGCATTTAATGCCTGTGTCTCACTAAACTATAACACAGCTCCTTGAAGTAAGGAACAAATACTCCCAACACCTACCAGAGTACTTAACACACATTAGGAGCTCAATTAATATATGTTGAATGAGTGAATGAGTGAAGAGATAGATGGGAAAAAACCCACTTGTTGAGTATTTACCCTATGCCAGAAACTGTGCTGTAGGCTTTAACCTATATAGCCTTTCTCATTTAATGCTTCCAACCGCCACCACGAAGAAGGCATTATTATTTCCATTCTATAAAAGAGAAAACTGAAACCCAGAGAGATGAAATATTTTGCCTAAGGGACTTGAATCCGGCTTTCTAATTCCACTTCTATGTTTTTGCTCACCCCTGAAAAATAGCAGCAAATGTTGGGGTACTTTGGGTTTAGATGTCCTCTCACACACAAGGCAAAAGTAATACAAGTTTCCATTTGCTCTTTTGGATTTGGGTATGAAGAAACTAACAGTTCTCAGTCACTTGCTGTAAACTGAGCACCATGTTAAGCATTTACATAAACTTTCTGGGGTAGAGATGGCTCTTTGTTCCAATACCCATTCTCCTCTTCACCACAGTAAGAAAGTTTACAGATTGGCACACACACACAAAAGAATGAAGATCCCAACTCTCCATTCAGCTAGATGTGGCCACTTGATTGAGTTCTAGTCAATAATTTGTAAGTAGTACATCCAAGAATCCTCTCAGTTTCTTCTTCTATTCTTCTTCCTGGAACATCCATGTTGCCATCTATTTTTTCAACCTGCCATTTACGAAAGAAAGAATCCTTTCTACAAATTCTCTGACCAAGCTTCAGTCTGTCTGCTTCCAAAGAGTCTCTATCTACACTTAGCTGATGCCAGTGGAGTTCATCTCTTTCCAAGACTTCCCAAATCACTGACTGATAGCTCTAATATTAATATTACTTTTTCTTACAATGTTCGCAGGCTTAGCTGTCAACTAAGCAAAACTTTAGTGGGATAGGAGCTGTTATTGTGACTTGAAAGGAAGACCTGCTTTTTCTTCCAGGCATGGTGTTTGACAAAACATGTGCAGTGAGGCTCATGCAAAGGGGACTTTTCCACATAGTTTGTGAATTTTATCACAAATCTTTAAAGGTAGTGTCAGCAAACTACAGACACTGGGATAAGTCCACCTCTAATATTTGTGAGGCCTGGGGCAAAAGAACAAATGGAGGCTTATGTATCATATGTATAATATTTTTAATCGATAAATAAAGCCAGCAAACATTTAAATAAAACATGTCTGTCTTCCTTCCTCGACAAATATAACTTCATAATAACCTGGAAGGTTCAGAATTTAGACTTCTTGGAATTCTTAGAGTTCTACCCAGAATAAGGCAACATGTGGATTGCCATGTCTTGGTCCCTACAGTCCTCCCTAATTCTCTTCCCACCCTCCTCTCTGTCCTGCACCACCCAGGATTCTTGTGCAGGCTCATGGATGGCCTAGCCCATTGCCATGCTTCATTTCTTCACTCGTGCCCCCGTCAATAGTTCTCCCTTGGCTATGCCTTGGGAGGATGGACAGGGAACTGGCCTACACAGGGCATGGAATTGGGCCAGGGTCCCTTTGGGCAGGGAATTCTAGGGTTCTATGTATCCAGTGCATGGTCTAAGGGTACAATTTGCAGGGCCCTCCTTTGCCATCAGAAAGGGTACAGCTAGTAAGGGCTGGAGTCAGAGTTAGGGCAAGGTTCCGTCTAGCTTGGGTTTAAAAGAAGTATTAGATGGGCCTGGGACCTCAGAAGGGTGACTAATGAGAACAATCACTAGTACACTGGAAAAAGCATGGCTTTGGCAAAATTTGAGCTCTATAGCTCACTTACCCCATGTTCTAAGCCAAGGTACTTAACTCCTCTAGGTCATGGTTTTCTCATTTGTCAAGGGTGATAACATCTACAGCCAAGGCTGTAGTTATAAATTCACCTGATCCTGTATGCAACAAGGCAGTAGAATGTAGTAGACTTAGGGCAACCACATGGATGCAATCCCAGCTCTACCACTCACTGTGCAACCTTGGGTAAATCACTCAACCTCCATGTGCTTCAGTGTCCACATTTGGGAAGTGGGGTTGATGCTAGTAACTAACTCACAGGGTTGTTGTAAAGATTAACCAAGGTAAGATGTATAAAGCACTCAGAACAGTTCCTGCACATAGATAGTAAGCTCCAAAGTACACAGCCCAGGGCCTAAAACAGAATCAACAACAAAGAACTATTGTTTTCTCTGTGCCCGTGGGTGTCGTGTGGTGGGGATCCACGAATAAAACATAATCTTACCCTCACGGAAGTTACAACACAGAAATGTGATTCACCTCACTTTGATCTGTTCCACCAGTGCAATGAGTGATGGGGTTGATAATAATAATAAATTGACGCCGTTGGTATATAAGGCCTGCAGGTACCTTCACATCCCTCCTACTATTTGACCCTAATGTCAACCCTGAGAGTAGGTAGGGTGGGAATCAGTCCCCACACATTCCAGATGGAGAAGTCCCTGTTCAAAGACACATAAAACTTCTAAGCGGCACCGGTGAGTTAGATCTTGAACTTCAAGATTTTGGGGGTTCAGTTCAGACCCTCTGTGTCCTTCATGATCTGGATCCTGCTGACCTTGACCCATTTCTCCTCTGGTTTTCTGCCCACCTCACAGACACACTCAATTTCCTGCAATTCTCTAGCCTCGTCCTACACTTTACGCCCCTGAGCCTTTGCACAGGCTGTTCTCTCTGCTTAGGATGTCTTGTTCTTCACTGCCTGGCTGCCTCCAAGATCTTCACTCACCTTCTTTATCAAGTTTTCCTTGAAAGTGCCCCCCCAATGAAGCTGGGTTAGGTGTTCCTCCTTGGGGTTCTCACATTCTATACTAACAACCATTAAAGCACATATCACTCCCTGATGTAATCACACGGTGTTTGTCTCTACCTTGCCCCCGTACACTTAGTCTGAGAGCTCCTGGGAACCTGAAACTGTGTCTCAATGCTCACTGAATCCAGTATCTGGCACAAAGTGCCAGGGCACAAGGCACATGTTTAACAAATGTTTGCTCACTGGGTAAATGAATAATGTCTTCCAGGGATAAGCTGTAGCGTATCCTGTCCTCCAGACACTTTACTGTCATCTACTGGTACACCGTTGTAATACACTTACAAATCTGCACTGATTACGATGTGGGGTCCTTGTACAGTGCCCACCCTGAATGATGGGTAGCCCTCAACTCTATTCTAACCAGAACTGAGAACGCTTTACACTATACCAATACTACCCAAGCAGCCCAGGCTTTCACAAGGCCTCACCTTCCCAGGAGAAACACTTGTTTTGCCCATCTCTGGAATGTTTACTGCAGAGCCTGGCAGATGGACTCAGGCTGAAGCTTAGGGTCAGGCAGTCCATCCCCCTGCCTGGCTGGGAGTCAGAAGTCTGTCTCCTGACAGGCCACACAGACTGCTGCCTCCTTGCCGGGGGCTCATTCAGGCTTGAGCTGCCTCTGAACAGTCCTGTCTGGCAGAGGGAAGGGTAGGGATGGTCTGGAATTTTAGATGCCTTGGGGGCTGGGGTTGCCGCCTTTGTAATTGCCTGGCTGTTTGACCTCAGGCAAAACGGACGGCCTCATTGTGCCCAAAGGCGGTCTCTCTAATGCAGACCTCTTCCCAATGCCCTAATATGTTTATTCTCATAATGAGTTCCCTGACTATCCCAGCCAATCACTCAAGGCCTTGGCCTTGGGAAGGGGGTGGGGGAAACTCTTGATTCCAGGAAGCTTCCTTCTCTGTGGGTGGTCTCGTATTTTACTGCCACATCAGAGGCACCAGGAAGGAGAATATTATAAAACAAGCGCTGCCTGGGGTGGGAAATCCCAAGTTTGGGGAGGCGGGAAGTGGTGTGTGAGAGAGATTTATGAGGAGGGGGTACAGAGCTCTTTCATGACGACAGCAGGGCCAGAAGGAAGAGAATTAGCGCAAACAGGATCCACCTGTGTCCAAGCAGCACCCTCCTAATAAATATGTCTGGGATGTAGAGTCAATGTGGCTGGGCCTTGGCTGGGTCCTTCCCAGGGAGGAGGGGTCAGGAATTTTCTGTCTCAGGCACAGCCCTCTTCCCACAGGTGACCCCTGTAGGGGGAGGGAGGGCGGGGATGCAG